AACACATGACATGTTATACTGCGGTGATCCCAAACACCAGAAATTCAAACACCAACTACACATTTTTTGTCATAACTGTCTGCCACTTGTAATATTATTTATTTACTTAAAAACTATTTTTTCTTAAATGATTTTTTAAGACTTAGGTACATATATTTGAAACCTAAGCTTTAAAATAGCTATGTCAAAAACGGCATCACTTGCCCTACGTAGAAGGTATTCTTAAAAACAATTACCATAAAAATGAAAAATGAGGCAGTGTTATTAAATTTATTGTAAAACCACTGCCTGTAAAGACTTTGGGCTTGTGTTCCGTTTTTTGTTTGTTTGGTTGGTTTGTCTGTTTGTGTGGTTGGTTGGTTGGTGTTTTGTTGTTATTGTTGTTGTTGGTAAAAGGGGAGATTAGCAAGTGACAGGCTTGTACCAAACTGAGACTTTCTCCTCAGGAAATTCAGGTAGAAAGAGAATTGAAAATGGGATCCCTTCTACACTTATGTGATGCTTAAATGCCGTCTTTGATCATCAGTGTTCTAGCTCACATTTTGAACACTGATGTGCTAGAAAGAGTACAGAACAGACAAGGAGAATAAATATGAGATCCATTCACGAACAGTTTTCATTAAATAAGACACTTTTCTATCCACTGTCGCTGCCCCCACTCCCCAATTTTTCTTATTTATAAAACGTGGAAGTTGGTCATTTTACTCTCAGAGAATTGATTATCTTTTTATGTGAAGTAGTTTACCTTCATCATTTATTTCCCAAACTTTCATTCAATCAACACAATGTTTTTGAGCCCATACCAGGAGTTAAGCATGGAGAATACAGCCATGAAAAGGATGTCCGCACCCTCATGAAGTTCATGATCTTCTTTTCTCCCTTTAGCACTCCTCTCCCTTTAAAAACTGCAGTGAATCAAATACCCAGCTTATTTCCTTCAAAAGAGATCCAGAAAACTTAAAGATCGATGAAGCTTAAAGTATATTACAATCTATTGCTTTTCAAAACGCCCCACTCCTCCCTAAACCCCACACACACTTCAATAGTTCATTGCGGTGGCAGTGTTCCCGAGGCCCACTAGAGGGCGCGCACATTTTTTGATTCCAAAAGAAGGCGCGTTTGTGGGTACTGCCCCTGAAGTTTGGACTTGGTGTCTCCTTTCCCCACTTTCTCTTCAAGTGGGGGCAGTTGTGGTGAGCCCTCAGGTTCCCTCACTCCCCCAAACCATCCTCGCCACATGCAGTGACTCCTTGTCTGCCATTACGAAGAATTCCTTTTCTCCCCAAACCACAGAAGTTTTGCTTCTGACTGCTTTCAGTATTTGCCCTTTTGACATTTTAGAAGAAATAAGATCCAAGTTTGATGTTGAAAAGAAAGCATTGATTTCTATGGTGAGAGGATTTCTTCTCCCTATTACTGTTTCCCCTAGCTGAGAGGAAAATGCTCCTCTAAGGATTTAAAGTAGCTCCTTTGAGCTAAAGAAGATCTTTCTGAGGAATACCAGAGCTCCTTCTGAGCAGATGTTTTGGAGCTGACATTGGTCCCCTTTTCAGCAGCGTGCTGTATTTTTTGAGGTCCGGCCTCTTCCTCTGAGTTTTACATTCTGAATTGACAAGCTTTTGATCTCAAACATTGGAGAAGACACTCCCACACCAACCATCCCCACAAACAATGATCCAAGACACACGTCCAATTGTTCCCCCAAGTTCTTTGCCTGGTGGGTGGCCCTAGAACCTTAGACCTCACCCTTTATTTGGTTCCAAAGGCCTCCTACCTCCAAATATCCATTCTGAGCTTTGCTTGGGAGTCAGCAAAAGCAGTAATAAAATAGATTGTAAATATGCACATGGCTATGGGATTACCTTTTGGATCGGCGTCTCTGCAGCTGGCATAAGGAAGACTGGGGACATGGCTGGAGTAGAAAGAATGAGGAATGGGCCTTGCCCACCCTTCCTGTGAATCTCAATCAGCCGGCTCTACAAGGAGGTGAACAACATTTTTGTTGCTATTTTTTTAAAGGTGTCAGAAGTCTTCTGAGGCTGCAGCTTTATGCAAATATGCTACTCAACAAGAAAGCTATAGGGTAGAATTATTTACATCCCATAGGCATTATACATGTGAGGGGTGAAACTGTGAATCTCTGAATTTCCAGGAGTGGATGTGCTCATGATGAGCGCGTCCTTGCAGTTAGCTATTTTGGTGGCACACAATTCCCATATCTCACTGTCCTATCGTTTCAGGCAGGAGACCGCATAATCCTTCAGTAATTCTGGAATGACCCCGTATGTTTCCCTCCCATGGGACTTCGTGACCTGAACTTCTCCTGGGGATTAGATTTACTACTACCTTCGATTCTTAGTAATAGGCGCATTCATTTCTTTTTCTCCTAAACGGGTACAGCGCTCCATCATTGAAAGGTAATCATGTGACACATTTATTGCCCTTTCGCTTTGATGCTGACTCTGGAATTAGCAAAGAAAATGGCCATTTCTCTAGGAATTATTGCCCTGCTCTGTGGCTCACCCTGCCTAGAAATATAGACCATTCCCCGCATTGAAATCTACAATAATCACTTCAGGAAATTGCTTTCCCTATTGGAAACGGAGAGCTCACATAGGAATGTTTCCACAGCACAGCTGATGAGAATTACGACTCACTGAAATTTCAGTTTTCTTTGATTGTGACATAAAAACTGGGACATAAATTAAAACCCAATTATCTTTTAAGGGTAATTGGGGTTATAAAACCAAGAGACTGTGAGTCAGTGTGTCGCTATCACAGGAGCACAGTGTCTGATGGAATGGCATGTGTTCTGTCTTCCAAAGCAGTGTTTCACAGGAAGTGATTGGGGATGAGGGGCCCTCTGCCCAGGACATGCCAAGAGAGCACACCAGACTGGGTTACCGCTTGGAGAAATGCAGTGAGTGCCTAGGACATCTTGGAACAATCATAATGTGCGAAAACGGCAATGGGAAAATTCTGGCCTTCACCTGGGAAGGTGCCTGGGGATGGAGCAAGGTGCACGGCAACAAGATTCCAGCAGGTACCTGATGCTGTGTGCTTGGAAATGGCAGTTCTTCCTACCTGGGAGATAGGTGCAGCTCTTTGGTTATACCAGCTACATTACCAAAGTCCATGATAGAGGAGGGACTTTGCTTTTCAAAAGGGCCTGATCCACAAAAGCTGCAGAACAAAAGAGATCTTCGGTAAATCAAGTCATAAGTTAAGAGCATGAAGGGGAGGTCATTAAAGGAAATCTTGGATTATTCTTGAGGTACAAGAATTTCCCACACACCTGCAGATGCCTACCTGGCCACCTCTTGCTGATACATTACTTGTATACTCTTCGGGTCATATCACATCCACTGCAACTTCCCAGCCTTGGACCCCAAGCCCTCAGGATCCATCCTCCCTCCCCATTCCGGAGTTTCCAAAGGGTTTCGCTTCCCTGTTTTTCCGGAGAATGTGTTACTCCCTCAGTCTGCATTGTTCATATTTTTAAAAGAGCACATACCCACTATGAGACAGTGACGTTTTCCTTGCTGTCTCTGCCACTCAGCTGAAAGCCCCTGTGGGGCCTTGGCCATGAGGAAGGTAGTTAGGCACATAGTAGGCACTCACTAAACGATGCTGAATTTGGACACCATTGAAATGACAGAAATCCAAATGTCTGACTTTTCTTTCTGGAAGGTACCTTGATTTACCTTGCCACGAGTTATTAACCACGCAGAAGCCTTGACCAAACTGAGCCCCTTTCCAAAACCTGCCAGGTTTTCCTTTGATGGCACTCCCCTCTGCAAACAACTTCCTGTCTGCAGGACAACATAAAGATCTGGACAAGGGTTTCCAGCCGACCCTTGTTTTCAGCTGATGCCTCAGTATCACCGTGTCCCCTGAGAATCCTGGGAGAAAAAAAAATGCAAAGTCCGGATTATCTGCTCCACCCCTGAGAAACCATGCCAGGAGAGAAGTCTAGAGAAAGTGGGGTGTCTGATCTGGGCTTGTGCAGCCTTATTTCAGGATCTGTTTTCTTCTCTATTACCTCACAAAACCAAGAGAAAATTGGTACAAACTGGATCCACCAAAGATCAGAACTTGGTTCTCAATGGCAAAGACAAGTGTACATTATAAATAGCAAAACAGCTGGCTTGGACCATGTTGCCGGCCACTCATCCAGTTGAGGGATTTAAATGACATCATAGCCCTTGAGAGGGTATTGCTAGCCAGCTGGTGTTATTTAGAATATACAAACATTGGAGAAAAACACACACATGCGTACACACACACACACACACACACACACACACTTTCGAGTTATGCAGAAAAATTTGAACGATGAGAAAATAGTTTGCCCCTTAGGTGCCCCTCCCCTGGGGGGGGGTGATAAGCAGCCTCATAGAGAAAGGAAGAAAAAGATATTATTTTTTCAGTTGGCTTTGTAGCTCAGCATCGTCTTTGCCCCGTCGCGGGCAAAAAGCGCAAGCCGGTGTCCGAAAGGGAGCCAATTGCAACATTGCCTGCCTGCCCCTTTCCTAGGTTCTAGGAAATGAGATCATTTCACTCACTTGGCAACTAGGACAAGGGGTCACCCCGGCGCTGTCTTCCAATCTAGTGTACCCCGGTCATTTCAGGGTTAAAATCATAGGGTTTGCTTGGGGTGGTCTGTCTTCATTTATTGTTGTTTTTTTAAAAATAATTTTGCATTTGCACTAGAAGATGAGTGCCCCCCCCACCCCCCAAGTAGCTTCTGTTAATTCTGATAAGGTGTATGAACATATGTGTACGTCTTCATGCCCAGGAGAAAGTTCATCAGAGCACAGACCCTCATTTTCTACGGCAGCATCAGGATTTTCATGTCTGCTCACCCTGTCACTAACACACATTCTTTTAAGGGGAAAAAAAAAAAGAAAAGAAATGCTTCTGTGCTCTAGTTTTAAAATGCAAAGGTATGATGTTATTTGTCACCATGCCCAAAAAAGTCCTTACTCGATAACTTTGCCAGAAGAGGGAGAGAGAGAGAAGGCAAATGTTCCCCCAGCTGTTTCCTGTCTACAGTGTCTGTGTTTTGTAGATAAATGTGAGGATTTTCTCTAAATCCCTCTTCTGTTTGCTAAATCTCACTGTCACTGCTAAATTCAGAGCAGATAGAGCCTGCGCAATGGAATAAAGTCCTCAAAATTGAAATGTGACATTGCTCTCAACATCTCTCATCTCTCTGGATTTCTTTTTGCCTCATTATTCCTGCTAACCAATTCATTTCCAGACTTTGCACTTCAGAAGCAATGGGAAAAATCAGCAGTCTTCCAACCCAATTATTTAAGTGCTGCTTTTGTGATTTCTTGAAGGTAAATATTTCTTACTCTTTCAAGTCATTGGGGAATTTTCTTTAAATTGTGTACTGTTTGCTTCTGCCTAGGAACGTTATTCACTTTAGAATTTTTCATTGTTTCGGAACTGGGAGTTATTTATACATTGCTGAATGTGCAATTCTGTGGGATCTGAAAATATAGCTCCGGGAGATGGATGCCTTTTCAGAGAGAAATATGTATGAGTAGAAACTATTGCAAGGTACTTATGCTAAACCCTCCACTTCTCCAGGGCTTCAGTGGTGTCATTATAGATGATTCCTTTAAATCCTGTCTATGGTTAAGGGCTATAGAGAGTGGATGTGAACTTTGGGATTTTTTTTTTTGCAGGTGCAGATGTTTAGTTTTAAGACCATGTTCGTGTGTATGAGTATGAGTGTGTGTGTGTGTGTGTGTGTGTGTGTGTGTGTGTGTAACTTGTCAGGACTTTTATTACAAAGCATGCCACATACGAAGAGTTATATTTTAGCTGATATTAAAGCTTTTAAATGTGATCTTTGGAGCTAAGGTCCTGGAGCTCTCTGCACTTATGCCCAGAGAGTCAAAGTTAGAGTGAAGTTTAATTTGCTTTTCTGAAAAAGAACTTGACAACTCTTGCTGACCTTGCATATTCATATAATTTAAACAAATGCATACTGCATATGGTAAGCGGAAACTTTCTAGCAACTGCTCCTCCAAGTTTTCTTGTTTAAAGAAGACTTTCAAGGGGCGAAATATGGACATGGGGTTCTGTGTTGTGAAGCTCTGATTTTGTACTTGGTGCTGTAAAGTCTCTTTAGGTGAATTTGGCTGCCGGTGTCTATGTACGACTTCTCGTTTCCAATCACTGGCCCTAGTTCAGATTTCCATTCTCAGCAAAATTATATCCTTCAAGACTTGTGTTTTTCCAATTTGCAAGCACTTTTAAGCTGCTGTCACTGGTTCCCCGGTGCAACTGCCTGAGGTCTCAATTCATAAACTGTCCCTGCCTCTTACTTAGTACAGCATTCATTTGCTGCTTCCAAATACTCTACCAGCAGGACTTTTCTTAGTCCAGCAAGTGGCTTAGGCGTGAAGGATCCATCCTCGTCAGGCACCTGATTCTCCTGCTCTTGAGATGCCAAGACTGGCATGCTGGCTACCTTGTTTTTCAAAGAAAGGAAGTCAATATACAGATATACTCTGTGGTCTGACAGCTGGGGGATTTGCCTCCGGAATTAGATGATCATAAAAGAGGCTGTGGAGTATTCTATCTGCCTTACAAGTTTGGAAAACTGTCTCTAAATGAACTTTCCGTGCTGTGTATGCTGAACTTTTCAGAAGTAGAGCTAGCAATATGCTGTTACTTTTTTTCCTGTACTTGGGAGCAGGAAGTGGTTTGAGGGAGGTGCATGGTCTTCCAAATGTAATTCAGTGAGTAAAGGTGTCCTGCCTAGAGGTAGAACTCACAAGCTGACTGTGCTCTGAGTCCCATGATATTTCCAAGTGTTTGAGTCGGAAGGAAGAAGGTCTGGGAGAGGACTGGATCTCGGGGCGCTGTTCGTGGTGGCTATGACGGGCATACATACAATGGTAATTGGTGGCTTGATTGAAGGGAAAAGATTGACTCGAATCTCAGCTGTGCAATTTGTTCATTGTTTGAATGGACAAAAGGCAAGTTTACCCAGGCTCGCAGCATACCTGCCTGAGTGTCCAAATGTAACTAGATGCTTTCACAAACCCCACCCACAAAGCAGCACATGTTTTTAAGTCCTCAGTTTTCTATTCACATCAGCCTCATAATACCCACCCTGACCTGCTGTAAAAGATCTGGAACAAACAAAAATGGTTACACCTACAGTGAGTATTTTCTTATGACTATTGCCCTCAAATTTTACTGGGCATTTTCATTGTAGCCCAGACATCTGGAATCAATTGATATTCCATTTATTTAAGATAAAAAGAAAGGTCTTTTAAATTTTGGATTGGTGAATGATTATTGAGAAAGAGTGCTCTGATTTTTTCTTCTTTTTTTCTCGGTTCTTTCTGGCTCTCCCTTCCTTTTGCTCTATCATATCTTCCCTTTCTCTCTCTTTGTTTCTTTTGTGTTTAGCAAAACAAAAGGCCAAAGAAATGATGAGCATATGAAGGCACTTGTTTCAAACTTTTAACTCCTAAACAAGTTTGTTATTGTTTTCTTTTTGGGAACATAATGTGATAAATTCTCTGTGTCTCTGTGGGTGTACTGGACTGTTCCCCAAAGGAAAATGCACTAGAGGTTCTATCTTGTCCTAGAACTATAAGTGCTTATATTTATCTGACAATGTAATTCAGCAAAAGAAAGAAGGAAAGAAGGATGAGAGGGAGGGAGGGAAGGAGGGAGGATGAAAAAAAAGAAAAGAAAAGAAAGGAAGAAAGAAAGAAAGAAAGAAAGAAAGAAAGAAAGAAAGAAAGAAAGAAAGGAAGGAAGGAAAGAAGGAAGGAAGGAAGGAAGGAAGGAAGGAAGGAAGGAAGGAAGGAAGGAAGGAAGAAATATCTGTAAAAAAATAAATCTTAAGTTCTTAAATGCTAGAGATTTATATGTATTGATGGGTTTAAATGTGTTATACTGGAAATAACTATTAAAAATATAGTTTTGATATCTAATGAAGTTCTCAATTCCCTAAGGCTTAAGGTGAGTACCTTTTCCCCTGGATTTCATAAGAATTGAAGAACGTGAAGGCATCTACAATTGCAGGTGCTTGGCTGTCAGCATTCCTATAAGCTCAACAAGGAAGGGAGAGGTGGAGAAATGGGTTTTGTAGTAAAGCATGTATTCTAGAGCTGGCCCATTGCCAGGACGTGGGGTATGTCCTGTAAGGAGCAATTAGAAGTCTGCTTTTCTGAAAAGAGCAATGAAGTCCAGTTGCGTTAGATGCGTTGAGGTTTCTACTGAAAATACTGAAGAGGAAAACTCCCAGCAATTATTTTATAACTAAGAAAAATGGGGATTGGGTGATAACTTATTTCCAGGAGTCTCAGTGGTTTGGCTACATGGGGGTGGAGGGTTTCCTTAGGACTCCAGTAGGGTCCTACTGAGAAAATGGAAGAAATGCTCACTTGCACATTCACCTCATCTTCCATTTTATGTCCATTACTGATGGTGATTTGCAAATAGAAGGCGCTTTTTGTGGTCAACCCTTTTATAAGCATCAGCTAAATATTTACATTGTGTTAAAGAGAGTCAGAAGGTTAGGATTTTTTCCTAATTGCTGAGCTGAAGGTCTGGCCACAAAAATGGAAATCTTAATTAAAATATTGGAGCCAACTTTGCCACTGCTGTACAGTCATTAAGTTGAGAGTTTATGGAAAGCAAGGAGGGTGGTAGAAAATAAATGACTGTGTCTGTTTATCCAAAAGTGATGGGGTTGAGTGGACCTGCCACTTCTGGGAGGTTCAAAAAAAGGCTCTTTTTATAATGGTAGCTTCCAGTGTAACTCTGTGACCCTTGTGATAGGATCCCTCCCTTAAACTCCTGACCGTCACTCTTCCAATGCTGCTGAAAGTAGACGCATCAAAGAAAGGTGATGCTACTCAGGTTGGGAGCCTTTCTGGAAGAAACCACATCTTTGTGCCACATGCAGCAGTATGGAAAAACTTAATGATCATCTTAGCCTTGTTTCTACTACTTAGAGTGAGGATGGAGAAGGGACCACAGCAACCCTGCTTCTGGCTGGGCTGACACTTGACTGTCTATCATTGGCTAGGTCAAGCCAACCAGGGGTTCCTCAGTATATTTTGCTATAAAATGGATACAGTGACACATAAGCCTCTCCAAGAGATGAAGTCAGAATTCCTGTGATTTAAAAAAAAAAGGCTTCTGTAGGTTTTGAGCTCAGTGCCCTGTTCATGGAAGGCACTTTCTACACATGTATTGATTTGATCTTGAGATTAACATAAAGGGCTTTAGAATGAAGACAGAGTAGGGTCTACTTAGCATGAGCCAATTTCATTCCTAAATCCTCACTTTTTTCCTGTTTCTGGGTTTATTTGTTTTTTTTCCCCATTTCTTTTTACTTACATCTGTGGTTGTGTTAACTGCTATCCCCCAGGTAGGATATCTGTCTCTCTGTCTCTTCTCTTCTCTCCTCTCTCTCTCTCCCTCTTTCCCTCTCATTAAGTGAAAAAAAAAAGAAAGAAAGAAAAGAAAAATCCAATAACTCTATGTAGTATTTTCACAAGTGATTTATTTAGCCACAGTAAATTCTCTTTGATCAGTAGCTAGGGAATGATGTTCCGGCTAATTTAATATTCTGGTCAATAATGAATGCATATGCTCTCTGTGGATGGTCAATCTTTACAGAATTTAAATTCATAAAACATATTTGGGACCAAATCTGGACTGAGCACAAGTTAATCTTTGATAATTCAAAAGTTTTACCAGGATCTCTGAGTGGTGTGGGATCCTGCTTCAATAATAGTATCTTTCATGTGCGTAGTAAACGTTTCAAGATATTTTATCTCACTGACTTATAATAGGAGCCCATAAAGGAGGGGTTCAGGGAGGACTCCTCCAAGGTCCCATAGTAGCAAGGGGATTAAACACAGGTCGTCTGCTGCCAAGACCTACTCAGTTCACACCACCTTGTGGTCTGTCATGCGCACTGTTGTCCTTCTGTACAGGGTAGTTCTGATTTACAACAGTGATGAATGTGGGGGGGTGGGGTAAGTGCCTTCGTGCCCCTACCCCATTCCCCTCGCAAAGACCAAGGAGGAAACGTGACCACCTTTCTTTCTTTGGCAGGTAAAGATGCACATCATGTCCTCCTCGCATCTCTTCTACCTGGCTCTGTGCTTGCTCACCTTCACCAGCTCTGCCACAGCTGGGCCGGAGACACTGTGCGGGGCTGAGCTGGTGGATGCTCTTCAGTTCGTGTGTGGAGACCGGGGCTTTTATTTCAGTAAGTAGCCCTCCCTCTCACTGCTCTGTGGATTTACAACTGCAGGGAGTGTGTGAATAACTGAAAGGCTGCCCGTGGCGGGCAGCCATCCGCAGCCTCTGAGACTCCTCACCTTAAAGTAAGCCCAGTGTTTCAGTCGGGGCTGTGGCAGGTTTTGTAGATTTAGGATGGAATTTTCCTCCTTAGCAGTTTTTCTTTTAACTACTTCCTGCCAAGTTTTCCGGCAGCTATTATGCTCTACCCTCACTATTCCATTCCCTTCAGAGAAAGGATGGGACAAAATGACCCTGGGGGGGGTGAGGTTTTTGTTCTTGAGACCCTTGGGTGCACATAGAAACATATGGAAACATGTAGGCCTGTTTGAAGCGCTAGGAAACTTGGAGTAAAATAGTAAGTGGACTCGGAACAAGAATTAAGGGGACACATCCCAGATGTCTCCATGCAACATGAAATCACCAGGAACAGACAGAAGGTGAGCTCGCCTCAAAGGCTAATTTGCAAATACACAGGCTATCTCTTAAATGCAAACAGAAATGCCATAGGAATTTGATTTTTGGTTACTGTCTTCCTTGGACGTAGGCCTTTTCTGGGGCCCTCCAGTGGCATCTCCATCTGGAAAGGGTTTTGTGACAAGTGTGGGGTTACTTATCCCACAAGGAGGTCTCAGGTGATTAGAAAGTCCACAGTCAATACAAAGTAGGCAGCCAAATCAACGCTTGCAAATAATAAACACAAACAAAAGGCAGTGCTGCCTGAGGGAACTCATCACTTAAATTTACCTCAGAGGCATCTCTCTCATTGTATATTACAGAACAGCGAAGGACAAAGCCAGATGCTCATTCCGTGTAATTCTTTGGAATTTTAGAGAGTTCCAGAAAACTGACGTTCAGGTCCTCAGTGAGCATGAATCATTCTTCGAGGTTCATATCATTCAAGTGTAGACAGCTTACCTCAGTTACCCACTAAGTTTTGAATAGCTCCTGTGATGACTCACACACTTCAAGTCTCTCTCATCTTCTTCCCAGGAAACGTGGTATATGGTGTGTGTGTGTGTGTGTGTGTGTGTGTG